CGATCTTTGGGGACCTCGCCAGACGGGGGATATGGGCATGCATGCGCACACACATTCATATATATATATATATATAGATATGTAAACATATATGCGTATGCATAGATATATACATGTGTGCATGCATGCATGTATGTATGCATGCATGCATGTATGTAAGTATATATATATATAAATATTCATGTCGACATCAGTATGTATGCATGCACGCACGTTGGTATGTATGAATGTATGTATGGATGCTTTTATGGATGGATGTGTGTATGCATGCATGCGTGCCTGCATGTATGTGCATGCATGCATGCATGCATGCATGCATGTATTTATGTCTATATGTTTGTATACATGTAATGCATGCAGGGGTGTATGATACATGTATGTTGTATGTATGCACGTTTATAGGTATGTATGTACGTATGTACGTATGTATTCATACATATGTATGTTTGTACGCATCCATGTCTGTATACACGTTTTCATTTATGTATTTCCGCCTGTCTGTCTGCCTGTCTGTCTGCCTGTCTGTCTGTGGGTGTGCATGTATGTTTGTGTATGTACGTACGTATGTATGTATGCATGTTTGTGTGTATGCACGTCTATTTGTATGTCTGTATGTCTGTATGTATGTATGCATGTATGTTCGTGTGCATGTAGGTCTGTATGTACGTGTGACGGTGCGCATGTATCTGCGTATGTGTATATTTGTATATTTGTATATATATATATATATATATGTGTGTATGCATGTGTGCATGAATGTATTTATGTGTGTACGTGTATGTGTGTACATTCGTGTATGTGTTCATGTATGCATATCAGTATGTGTGTATGTGTGTATGCATGTATGTATGTATGTATGTAGGCATGCCTTCATGCCTGCATTATGTACATTTGTGTGCGGGCTTGTTCACATCTATATTTATATACACATCTATACTTATTTATATACGCACACTCATATCCATGTACGTTTCACTATACACATAAACATACACATCCACTAACACTTACATCTACATACACATATGCACATACACATACACACATGCATGCACATGTACACATACATATGCCTCTGCATATACATATACATTTGCATGCACGTATCCTTGTACACATACATATGCATATACATGTACACGTACACATACACCTACAGTACTCATGTGTGTATATATGTATACATACTAGCATACATACACAACTATATATATCCTACCTGAGCTATGTATATATATATATGTATGTATGTATATTTATCTAAGTACATATATATATATATATATTCATGTACATATGTTGTAGTGGCTTCCGGCCATTGCCGCCGATCTGGGGCGCTCGCGATGATGCTCGGGTTCGCTTGGAGCACTATGGGGCTGTCTTAAGGCCTTCTTGGGGCCGTCGTGGGAGGAGGCCTCTTTAGGCGGTCTTTGAGCCTCTTAGGGATTTTACTGGAAGCCTTTCTGGCTGTCTTAGGGCGTTCCTGGCCCGTCGGAAGCCGTCTTGGGCGCCTCGCTGTGCCGTCTGGGAGCACTCTGGGGGCGCTTCAGGGCCGTCTTTGAGGCTATCTTGGCCGTCTTGGGGCCCTACTGGGCCGTCTTGGGACCCTCTTGACGCCGTCTCAGGAGCCTCTAGCGGCGTCATAGGGCAATCTTGGAGGCCTCTGGGGCGATCTTGGGGGCCTCTGGGGCCGTTGGAAGGCCGAAAAGAATGAAGGGCCCAAATCTTTCAAAGCATATAGAAAATTAGTGATTAGGGCCTCTTCGGGCCTTTTTGGGAGAGCATCCTGGGCCATCGTGGGTGCATCTTGAGCCGTCTGGAACTATTTGGCGGTCATCTTGGGCTCTCTGGCTCCCGGGTGGGAATTTGGCGGATTTTTCAGCCCCGCCCAGAAAGCGGAGCACAGGCGGAGCAGCCTCCCCCCCCTTCCCGGGCAGAGCCCCCCAGGCCCCCCCCCCAGCAGAGCTGAAGCTCAGGCTATAGGCTGTAGTTTAGGCCCTTTAAAACTCACACGCTGGATCGGCATACATTCGTACCCCTTGGTGCCAACATATATACCCATATCCGCCGCCCGCTGGGGGCCCAGGACGTCGGTTCCACAGGCGGTGGTCCTCTGGATATTTCCCCGCCTCGTAGAGGAGGAGGAGGAGGAGGAGGAGGAGGAGGAGGAGAAGGAGGTGGTGGAGAGGGAGGAGGAGGACGAGGAGGGGGAGGAGGAGGGGGAGGAGGAGGAGGAGGAGGAGGAGGGAGGAGTGAGGAGGCGGATGTGGATGAGGGAGGATGAGGAGGAGGGGGAGGACCATTGTGTACGCCCAAGACACATCAACCATATTGAAAAATCCTTCCTACAAGATCCTTCGTCATAGACCCCTACACGGATTCATTTTAACCGAGGGAGGGATGTGCCCCGTTGTAAGACAACCGTTTGAAAATCCTGTTTTGTGCCAGACCGCCATTCCTGGGAACTCAGCGCCGCGAATCACTGTTACTGTTGCGTCTTAACGATCCTGAATCGTGCCCGAACATCATTCCTAGGACTTCAAGGGAGGAGGAGGGGGAGGAGGAGGAGGAGGAGGAGGAGGAGGAGGAGGAAGAGGAGGAGGAGGGGGCTTTTTGACTGTACTTAGCTCGTTGCAAGTAGCTTGAGCGCAGCGGCCAACAGGACTGGCACAGGCTGCACACGAGAAGCCCGAGAGCATGGACGCTGAGCTGCTTCCGCTCTCGTCCCGAAAACTGTCGGGAGAGAGGTATTGGCGCTGCAGGAGGGGAAGAGAGGAAACATAGAAGAGAGAGGAATCTTAATAGAGAGAGGAGGAGTTTGCAGCTCCGTGCGAAGAGAGACATCAGCGGGGCCCTGCTTCGTTGCCCATAGCAGGGCAGCCCTCGAGGCAAAGAGCAGTACAAGGCTGGAAAAAGGAGAGACCTGCCTAGGTGTGCCGTCCAGGTTACGGTCGGCTGAAGGAGAGGGAAGAGCTGGAAGGAGGGCCAAATTGGCCAGGCCGCCGTGCGGCTGTCCAAACCTCCAGGGGAGGAGTGCTGGACTGGAGGAAGGGCGGGGGTTCCCATATGAGGCGGGAAGAGTGGGAAGAGGGCCAAAATGGCACTGCCGTGCTGCAGGGCGGCCGCTGCAGCTGAAAGGCCTGGACGGGCCGTCCGCGACAGGGAGGTGGGTGTGCCTGGGCGCTAGCCGAGACCAGACAACAGAGACCCACCTCCGTGTGGCCCCTCACAGGCACACAGGGACCAAGGGGACCCTGCTACACCTGGACGAGGGCCAAAGAAACAAGCCAAGGCACAGTGCCGCGGTCCTCCCACGAGGCATATATGCTTGCCGCAGCCTTGACTCAGCCGTGGCGAGTCTGCGAATTGCGCTGTGCGTATTGAGCCGAAGCCAGTTGGCGTTGGCACCACACCCTCCCATGTGGGCTCGACCCCGTCTTTCAGGAGGGCGTGGCCGACCCCTCCCATGTGGGCTCCACCCCGTCTTTCAGGAAAGGCCGAGCTGTGCAGAGTAGCTGTGCGCGAAGGCCAGAGAGGGCAGCCAGACCTGCCGCAAAAAACTGCCATACCTGCCCATCCCCCTCCGTGCTCTGGCTTTCCGCCTTCGGCGGGAAAAACTGGCTGAGCTCTGGAGGATGGCTGGTGACTCGAGCCGCCTATGGCGGAGACTGGTGCGCGGCAGATGCGGCAGCGCGCCGCGCTGCGGCCGCTGCATCCAAGGCGGCACGTGCTGGGGTACAGGTGAAAAAGGGCCTAGAGTCGTCGTGGCGTGGCGGACTCTGCACAGTGGGGCTCGGCAGCTGCGCCCCTGGCATTGGGTCTGCCTGTGACTGCTGCGGGGCCGCGAACAGATTACTCGAGGCTGACAGCACAGCGCGGCAGGCCCTCGCCTCCGCTGCTGTGATCCCCGGTGGCGTACATGATGGCTGCACTGGCGACGGCACTGACACTGGCACTGCTTCTGGCTGGCGTGAGGGTACTGGCACCGGCCCTGTCGGTCGTGAAGGTGCTGGCGGCGCTGGCGCTGCAGGGCGTACTGGGAGTGGTACTGGCTTTGACGGCCGTGAAGGTACAGAGACTTGCCGAAAAAATGGTGGCGGGCATAAGCCCTGCGCGAGGCCTAGAGCAGTGGCAGGGCTGGGGCCTGGATCAGCCTCCGCCCGCGTCCTAGGCGGAAAGCCTGGGATTGGGGTGCCGCGGGGAAGAAAAGGAGGCCGTGCAGAGGGGGGGGCAGAGGGGGAGGTGAACTCGCCCTCCGGGACCACCACGTCGTCGCCCGCTGCCGCCAGCCGCTGACCGAGAACCCCGTGGACTGGAAAGCCCGCCTCGGCAGCCATGGCCGCTGGTCCCGCTGCCAGCGGAGACGAGGGGACTGCAGCCGCCGCGTCGCCTCCATGGGCACCGGGAGCGACAGCATCCGGAGAGGGAGAGGCCGCTGCGCCCCGCTGCGCAGAGGGCGTTGGCGCCGCCGCCAGCGCCGAGGCCACCGCCTGGGCCAGCTGCGATGGCTGGCGGCCACGATGGCTGGTGAGGGCTGCGAAGGCGCGCAGAAGGTGTTCTGACGCGCGCGCCTCGGCCCTCGTGTACTGCGCGCGACGCGCGGCAGCCTTCCGCGGCGGCCTGCGGCGGCTTGTGGTGGCCGCGGGAGGCGCCTCCATAGCGCGGCCGAGGGGACGGGAGCAGGGGAGAGCGGGGAGGCGGCGCGGGGAAGCGCCGATGGCGCTGGCTGGCGCAGAGCGGCGGCTCGTGCCAGCTGGCGCTAGGAGGAGGGGGAGGGAGGAGGGAGGGAGGAGGAGGAGGAGGAGGAGGAGGAGCAGGAGGAGGAGGAGGAGGAGGAGGAGGACCAGCAGGAGCAGAAGGACGGCGGCCGCGACCACGATGAACACGACGGTGACTACGACTGGCCACGGCGACGGCGACCAGCGGCGGCGGCGGCCCCTGGCGCGGCCATCGCCGTGACCGTGCGCTGGGCGCGGCCCCCCCCCCGCGCCGATGACGAG